ATGCCAGCTCACACAAATTTTAATAGTAAGAAAACTTGAAATCATTGAAGTTTAAAGCAACACAAGGTTATAGATTCCATTGAAAAACTGTGACCTTTTACTTTTTAAACTGCAGAAATAGTATGGATAGAAATAATACGGATGTATCTATTAGAACACCAAGATACTATAATAATACTTTAGCATGAAGTTTATAAAATCTTACGTTTTAAAAAAATATTTGTCATTTTAACAATAAAATGGAAAAATGTGTTTCATTTTTTTTAAATCTCCAGTGCTAAAATACATTTAAGACCAATGCACATAGTCAGGTACAAGAAACAGAAATCAGAAATATGGTTTCTTACATGAATATAGCATAAACAGTAAAGTACTTCGTTGTATTGAAAAAGAAAGCTTGAAATAGTGCAATGAATGGTGTAGTATTCTTTTCTCTTCATTTATTTTTTAACAATAACACATTTTGATTTAGGATGTCAATGTTTCATCTATATCTACACTGTAGAAAATTATATTGTGATTTCTATAATGTTTGGGAGCTGATAAATTATATTATTTATATTTTGTTATAATTAATATTCTTAGTTGGCTCTGTTTAAAATCTTGAGGTCAGAAGTAAGTAAATGAACATATATATATATATATATATATATATATCTATCTCACACAATAAGGAAGTACAACTTCCTTTAGCTACAAATAATGCTGACTGCAAATATAACCTCTGTTGAGAAAAATGGCCAATTGAGAAGAACATTTTACTTTTTACAAAATTAACTTCACATTCTGCAGTTGAGTTTAAGAATGTGCTCAGTCCTGGCATATAAATGAAAGCTTTACATCACAAAGTTTTCTAAATTTAGATTTTTAAGTACATATAAATAGTCTTTCTTAACAAAGCCTTCAAACTTATATTACTTGAACTATTAACTTATAAACCAGAAGGTTTGCTATCCAAGTGTGTGAAGCCTACTATGTACATAATGTCTTTAGGGAAAACTTGAAGGAATTTAAAATTCTAAGAGATGAAGTATTTTCAAGTATAAAAATACAGTAGCATATTCACAATTCACCTTTAGCACATATATTTGAGGATTAAAATTTACACACTTCAAAGTAATGTTAAAACAAATAAAGAGGTGTGTTATTATCCCCAGCAGGGATATACTTATGAAACTCATAACCTAAATAGGTTCACAAACTGAAATGATACATGGCTGCAAAAAAGAGAACTTAGAAAATTTGAAAGAAAATTTTAATTTTTTAAGAAGCGAATCTTACTGGCGTATTTCTAAAATTTGAAGTTGACATTTATAATCAACACTAGACCTCAAGAATTAGTGTCCCTCTCAGAGACTATTAGGCGCACTATACCTGATGAGATCATATATATTTAGTCATTTCTGGATAGAAACATATGTTAATAAAACATGGTGATAGTTTTGTTTAAACCACCTATAGCACTAATTGTGTCTGTTGGCTTAACAACGGTTGAAATACAAAAATTGTAACATAAATTTTTTGAAATATAAAAATTTTGAATGGCGATAAAATATATAAAATTGTAAGCAATCTTACATGAATACATGTTTTAAATATCATTTTATCATTATCAGGTAATTTTACTTAATGTTTTGTATCTTAAAGTCCTTTTTCATGCTGATGCTAAAATAGCTTTGCCAGTTTTTGTTGCTTAATAGTTATCCATCTGCATTATCTGTTACAATCCTTAAATTTCAAATTTTCCTTTTTCTCAAATTTTTGGGTATATCTCAATTTGCAGACAGATAAACTTTCATTATTTGATCTAACAAATTTCTTTTCAACTTTCATTTAGTTACTTTAGTCAATTCTCAGTGATTTTTGTTATGGATGTATTTGGTTTTATTCTTTCATTTTGCTTAAAGTTTTTCTATTTCTGCTTTTTTCTATTCATAACTTTTTGTCTTTCTTATTCTTTTCCCATTGTATGTCATATTTTTCACAAACACAAAAGTTTCATGATGATAGGCCTTGAAATTAATAAACATTTAAAATATGCATAGAATAAAATTATTTTCATTTCCAAAGATAATAAGGAATCTTAGCTAATATTTTGAAAGATGACATGTTTACCAATTTATTTGTTCACAATCACATCAAATTTACTACTCAGTTAATTTTCCTTACTACTGAAGCAGTTTCAGGTTGAGGTGTTTTGATTTATGTTGCCAATAAAGATAATTTCTTTTGTATATATGACACAATTACTTATGCTGTGGTTTAAAATTACATTTTCACTGACCACATAATATCAGAATATATTTTATTTCAACTTAGTCTTTTAATAATATTAGTTCACTTTTGTTGTCCACTATAGTTACTGAGAAAATTAATGTTCTTACAATAATTCATCTGTAATTTTTGAGTTGATATTTTGAACTTGAATTTTATCTTGATATTTGGTGTTGTCACGAAATATATTTGAATAATGATTTATTTTCTATTTGAATTCCACTTGTCTTTAATGTGGGTTTATTATATTGAATTTTACATTAAAATTTTATAATAAAGTATAAAATCTAAAATATTCTCGCTCATTTTGGTTCAAATGTTAACTTTCAGTTTTTCTCATAAATATTTCCTTCTGAAATTTCTCTATCTACTATAAATGTGTGAATAAAGTCTTATGTATTCAAATATAGCTGATTCTTGTTATTAGTGGTAGTTGTTTTAGAAAGTCACCACACACTGAATTTCAGAATACTGAACTATTGCTCCTAGGAGAAACATACAGTTGGATTCCTTTGAGCCTATGATCACATGATTTTTATTAACTAAAACAATACATAACCTTGTTTTATGTATTTCTAGTCAAATACTCTTTGATATATATTGTTTATTAATTAACATGGCACAGTCAAGCATCACTACAACTCATGCCTGAGTGAAGCTTATCACACACAACCTTTTTGAACTTAGGAAGAGTAGGCTACATTTCAGTGCTATGTTGGGGCCACTTCAAAAAGAAATCTGCCCCAAAAATCACAAAACTTCAAAAAAAAAAACAAAAAAAAATACAAAAAAAAAAAAACCAAAGTGACTCTAAATAGACCATGAAGAGAACACTTGTTTACAGTATGAAAGATGAAACAAGATAGCAGTTATCTCTATTTTCAACCCTAGCTGTGAACATGCATGTCCAGAAACAAGTTTTCACCACCCTCTACATTTCTGTGAATGACCACAAATGTGCCAAGGATATAGATTTGTGGTTTTAAACCAGTTAAACTGGATAAGAGAAATTTCATACAGAATTTATACAATAAAAGAGAATCAACGATAATCAATTTCTTTACAGCAAACAACGAAAGAATAATTTCAACAATAGCTACATGAAAACAAAATGATCTGCCAATTGTAATATACAGTCAAAATGGCTAGGTATAAATAGTGAATGTTATATATTTCCATTTAAATAATTTTTAAAAATGGGCAATATTTCTGTTGGTAACAGAAATCTAAGGAATGATTACTTTTCAATAGGTAAGACTAGAGGAAGTAATACAATACTCCTAAAAATATTTATTATCTAAATAACAAAGTCACAAGGAGAACAGATTTGTTCAGATTGATACCCAGTTTTTTTTTTTTTTTTTTTTTTTTTAGCCTGGTCAAAATCTAGCAGTATCAAAGACAGAAGTTTATGGTAAATATATGGGACAAAATGTATTTTAACATTAGATATGGGATGATTAGATTGGGTATACATGAGAAATTGTAACTCTGGAGGGCTTAAAGTTTTCTAATAGAACAATTATTCATCCTTTACTCATTATTGTACTACACATTCTCATATAAGAAATTGAACCATTAGACTAATTGTTTACTGGCAAGTTTTCAACAGTATAGATACCAGAGCTTCCTTGCAGGAACACGTTTTTATTTTTTTATTTGTGACAGCAAATCCAATAATGTTTATAGGATGAACAGATGACTGGATGAACAGATGAATGGATGAATTTAGGTGAAGGTGTTAAACTTTTAATATAACAAACTTGAACTTCTAACCCTTTAGCACTTTTTATGGCTCGAGTCATTAATCAATATTAGAGGAACTAATATCTATTTCAATATTCAATTAAAAAAAGTATTATGTTAAAAAACCCTGTAAATTATAAGGAATGGTTACTTTTCAGTGTCTTCCAGAAATTTGTTAGTAAACAGGGATATAGCACTTCCATATGGCATCATCTCTATAAATGCTTTAAATGCATTAGTTGACCTAATACTTAAAGTAATTTTATGAGATTTGTGGAGCTATTAAAGCTATTTTGTTTGTTTCCTTTGAACATATCATGAAAGGCTTAGTACAAGAGCCACATTGCCTAGATACAAGTCCTGCATTGATCCTTGCTATTGTGCAACTGAGTTTGAGTTGATTGGTCATGTTGGGCCATCTTAGAGAAAACAGAGAATTAAACATTTGATGGCTCAATCCAGAATGATTTCTCATCACCACAACCATGGCAATATGGAAACTGACTATGACAATGTTTGTTAGAGATGTTACCTTTCATTGACCTATTACATATCACTTGCCACTCCAATAAAACCTACTTTTATTTAGTAAAACTTAGTATCATCTGTAATTTTGTTAAGAATCAAATATGCATGATTAAACACTGTTTTTGGAAACATAATGGAGGAATACCTTACTTGGTCTTTGAGTAGGTTTCTCCCTTCTCTAAACAGTATAAACAACTATGAGGGGCACTAGTCATGTAAATACTATGATGTGTTAATGGAAGCCTAATTTTTGGAAATGAAAGATGTTTAAATTCCTCCTCTAGTTTGTTATGTTTAAGTAGCAAAGAGAGATGAGAGTTTGCATAAAATACATGTTTTCCAGTTATCAAAGTGATGAAACAATTTATCAATGACAGTGAAATAGCAATGCATAAGTAACCTGGTAAAGATATGTTTTTAAAATCAATTTCAAAAGTGGGATTAGTCCATACCTGAATAACTTTTTGGGACTGCACATCAACAATAAGGACTCTGTTCAAAGTTGGCTGTGCAACATATATGAACTTGTCTTTCACATTCACAGCTGAGGCCCACACACACCTCTGAACTTCATCTCCCTCAGCTTTGGGACAGACTTCATCCTGTAATAAAATGAAGATATTAAATTGTGATATGGGTATGGCCATATTATGGGTAAAATCAATGTGATGCTTTACTACTTTCAGCATCAAAAGCTATATATGTATATGTTTATGTGTGTGTATATATATATATATATATATACATATAGAGAGAGTTAGATCAAATAAAACCATACATAGTACATGTTTGAGATCATTAAATATATATAGAAACCTGTGTAAATAAACTTCAAGTCCTTAATTACTTATTTATAGTAAGATATAGTTCTTTCATTTGATACACTTCTTCATGGCTCAGTCATTCCAGGAAGACATAACAAATGCAGATTTTCCTGCCAAAGCACCCAATCTCAAGCTTCTTTACCATAGATCAAATGTCACACTAAATTACATTTAGAGCTTCTCTAGACATAAGTAGTTGTACATGGTATTTTCATGGACTTGTCAAAAGTTACATAATTCAAGGAAATAATTGAAGGTGTCTTTTAATTTAAGGAGAATTAGAAATTTAGAAAAATATAATAGTATAATTATTTAGAATTATTATTTCATTTCCTTTTGATATCAAGGTTAAATATTACAAAATGCTTCACATTGCCCAAGTCATTATTTTTTCTCCTAGAAATATCTTCTGGTTGAATATCACATCATTTGACAGCCAACAGGCATATGAAAAAATGTTTAACATCCCTTATAATCAGGGAAATGCAAATTAAAATCACACTGAGATACCACCTTACAGCAGTAAGAATACAAATTGCAGCAACATGGATGGCGCTAGAAGGGATCATGCTCAGCGAAATAAGCCAGAAAGAAAAAGAAAAATACCGGATAGTCTCACTCATAGTAGGAATCTAGAAAACTTAAATAAGGGACCAGGAAAATGAATAACTATAAGAAAGTGAAAATCAAAATCAACAAAAAACTATGAACCAGAGACACTCTATGGTTACAGAGTAAGAATGACACCTTACAGCAGTAAGAATGACAAATATCAAAAAAAAAAAAAAAAAAGCAACAACAAATGTTGGTGAGGATGTGGTGAAAAAGGAACTCTCCTACATTGCTGGTGGGAGTGCAAACTGGTCCAACCACTATGGAAAGCTGTGTGGAGATTCCTCAGTCTACTGAAAATGGAGCTACCATACGACCCGCAATTCCACTCCTAGGGATCTACCCAAAGGACGCAAACACATTGATTGAAAATAATAACTGTACCCCTATGTTTATTGCATCACCATTTACAATAGGTAAAACCTGGAAACAACCCAAATGCCCACAAAGAGATGACTGGATCAGGAAAAGGCAATATATATATACACAATGGAATATTATTCAGCAATCAAAAAAGATGAAGTCATGCCATTCGCCCCAATGTGGATGGAACTAGAAGGAATTATGCTCAGTGAAATAAGCCAGAAGGAAAAAGAAAAATATTGGATGGTTTCACTTACAGCAGGAATATAGGGGAACCGAATAAGACATCAGTGTTAAAAAAAAATAATAACAGTACAAATCACAACAAAGCAAAAACAGACAATTATAAATCAGAGATATCTGCAGGGCAGGAGGAGGGGGAAGGATTGCAGGGAGGGAGGGAGGAGCACAGGGGACTGAGGTGATGGTGCACAGGTGCATTGGGGAAGGAAACTCTATGGGGACTACACCTGAGGGGGTGGGGGGAAGCAAATATTGTTTAAAAATGAACAATTATGTGAAAAATAAAAAATAAAGAATAATGCGTCATTTGAGCTAAATGACCATAAATAAGGCAAAACGTACCAATTATTTTCTCCTTTCCTGCATTATGTCAATGCGTGAATGTAGAAGTGATACCTAAGCCTTGTGATTTGTGTTATGAGAAACATCACGAACAGAAGTGCCATGAAGCCTGTATTTTTTCAGGTTTTTCTTTTATCCGGTATATTGGTTTTAAAATTCTCTTCATTTACTTATAGTTAGAAGAACCACTATAAAGAGAAACTTTTCATTCTGTACATAAAAGATAAGTATAATTATAGACCCTTATATAATGACAATGTTATAGAAGCAAACACTGACTTGTTGCACGTGGTTTATGATTTAGGTACAGATATTGATGAATTTTGTCTAATTTATTGACTTTTATACTCTAGCAGTAACTTTTAAGCTAATTTAGAATATTCGTTCTCCTAACTCAAACAAACACAAAATTCATTTTTAACAGATGTCCCATTCACCATTTGTTTTTAAAAATCATGAAACAAAATCATGATTTTTTGTTATAATTATCAGCATTACTAAGTAACTATAATTTAAATATAATATAAATAGAGGATAAACCACACTTTGCATTTAGTAGTTAAAATTAACGTCACAATAATATGAAACCTCTTCGAAAAAACATAATGGTTGGTTTTCCTGTTTTCATGAAACCTGGAAAATAATGTAAAAACAAAAGTAATTTGAAAAGAGTCGGTTGAGGGTGGTGTTTTTTTGTTTTTGTTCTTCAAACTTCAGATCTGATTTAGGGAAAACCTGGGATGGCTAACAATTTTTTAAAATTCTTTTTTAAAACTCTGTCCAAAAGTTAGTAGGTTCAGCCAAAACACCCAAAGCATATAATGATATTGTTATTCTTTGAGCTGAACAGATTGTTCTAAGCTTGCAGGACAGAGGTTAAAATGCCTGTAAATTAGGCATGCAAAGTGTACTTCTAGCTCTTTTGAAGGCATAAAGTTAATCTCATTTCAAGGATGTACCCTAATTATAACCCAGTGGGGTCATCCTGTTTAATATGAATGGTACTTTTAACAGCATAAAAGCAGAAATCTGTCCTCAGTACATGCCCAATTAGGAGTACAGTGTTTTACTTTCATTCATTGATTTCTACTGAAACATTATTTTCTATGTCAACCTTTCTTTTAGAAGTGTAAGTATTTTGAATATCTTTGACAAGAACCTATTTTGTGAGACACAAACACCATAAAAATATGTACTTGAGAAACATGGAGAGGTGGGGAAAAAAGTGGGACCTGAGGTTGATGAAATGCTCTGAATTGGAGAAATTGTTTATAAACTCTTTGCTGTTGTGTAAAAGCTCCCAACAAAACCTGCCAAATAACAGAAAGTACGAGCGACCTGACACATAACTGTCAGCCAAACAACTGCTGAACCAGGAGCAATTTCCACCCCTTTGTTTGCTACAAAACTAGTCAACAGTAAAATAAACTATTCTGCTGGGAATTATTTCCTATTTGTATGCTGTCCCACTAGATGTCCCTGACCAGACTCACAATCATTTTCACAAAGCCATTAAAAGTTTCCTGACAGTCACCCTGAATTTTCTTCGCTTCACTTCATGTCATTATTTTTGATTATAGTCTATTAGGTCTCATTTTATAATAGCGCTCTTATTTTTTTCAGACTATATAGATTAATGTTTATTTTTATGGGTAGGAATTGTAGAGGAATGTTTTTCACATGCATTAGGCATTTAGTGGGATAAAAGAGAAACTGAAAAAAATACCAGAGATGCAAAATAAGATTAATTCATACTGATAATGCAAATTGTCAAGAATTATATCAAGAGAATCATTAAATGACTTTTTTATAGAAATGTATACCAGAGAGGGCGGAGCAACATGGTGGAGAGGAGACACTGCGAGTAAGATCTCCCATTAAAAAAAGTTAATAGGGAGGAAAAGCGGCAGGTCCCAGTGAGAACTGGGACACGGAAGATAAACGGGTGACTCCAGCAAACTACCCGAAGAAGAAAGTTGCCATAAAAGAGGACTAGAAGGGAGGAAAGCGCAGAACTCTGCTCCCCTCCCCCACCCACGGAGTCGGCACTCTCCGACTGGCAGAGAGGAGGAAAACAACAAACTAAAACCACCAACAAGAACAAACTACGCAGCAAGCGGGACTGTGAGTGGAAAGGAACTATTGCAGCCACCACACCCCGTGAACGGGAGCTGTGGAGAACCCTGCAGGATTCGCCGTGGAGGTGAGCTCCAGGTGCCATTAAACAGAGACCCCGCCCCCCAGGAGGAGGCCAGGACCAGCACACAGCCCCAGGCCGCCCGTTAAGCTTGCGTGGAAAAGGGGCTCTCTGGAAAAGCAAACGCGGATTGGGATCGGGATAGCGCGGAAAAGCAGCGTGGTTGAAAAGCAAACGCGGATTGGGATCGCGGCTGCCCAGGTCCCCGTGCCTGCAACCTATGCTTGCAGGGAGACGCGCGCGAAGACCCTCACTGAGGTGAAAGTGCCTCACTGAGTATCCAGGAACCAGGCACCCAGGCACGGGAGCGGGGTGCAAAAGACGCCATTTTGTGGACACTGAACTGGGCTACAGCCCGCGTCCTGGACCTGAGGGCTTTGGAACTGAGATCCGGGGCACAAAATTCGGGGCGTGGGTTCTCCACGACGGTGGGGCACAAGGCAGACACAGCACCCCAAAGCTGTTGAGGTTTACCCTACCATTCCTGCTCTGTTTCCTGTCCCACGGGGTGAAAAAAAAAAAAAAAAGCTCCCCAAGGGCTTTAGGAGAGATCTCTGGCGCCACCTAGCGACTTGAAACCAGCAGAGGCTCCTGGTGGAGCCGTGGCCAGCTGGGAAATTAGCCCATGCTGGGCCCCTGCCAACCAGTAGTCTGAGCCCACAGGGGGAGCGAGTACCCAAAGCCGGGGCAGACCAGGCGCGCAGAAGAGTGTGCCTGAGACTGGACACGCAGGGAGTGTGTCCCGCATCGGCATTTTAGAACAGGGACCTTTCTTCAGTTAAGACTGCTTGAAATTGACAGATGGCTCCCGGAGGAGCCAGAGGGGAGCAGAGAAGCTCACCCAAGATGCCGGCCAGTCCCAGCAACACAGTGTCCCAACGCATATGGCAAATTAGAAAACAGACAGTAGGGAGTAGAAGAACCACACGCAACATAGCAACTCCTCAGGGAAGAAGCACACCACAAAAAGAAAACCAGCCCCCAGATTGCAACGACAGTAACTTGGAAGAACTTCTGAGCC